CGAGCATTTTCCGTCAGTCAGCAATGGGGCAATTGCCCATATTACGAAACCAGTGCCCGTAGAAGGGCCAATGTCGATGAGGTGTTTATAGATCTTTGCAGACAGATTATCCGTCGGGATATGGAACACTCGCAGAGAGAAGGAGGAGGCAGGCACAGAAGACATCATGGCGGTGGAGGATATGATAGGCACGAGGGATACAGAGATAGTGAAAGATACGATGATGATAGATATGGCCACCCTTCAGGCGGTAGGACGAGGAGACATAAAGAAAGGAAAAGGAGAAAAGACATGTGTACAATATTGTAAAGGCGCTTAGAACTGTGGCCCGTGTCGCTCGATGCATTATTCCCTACTCAGGTGGGGGAGATATTGTTCAGTAAGACTTCCATGATTTTGGTTATCTACGGTTCCTCTTTGTCTGGATTATAGGGGGAGTTTTGGGCTCATTTTATAGATTTCTACACTCTCGCGAGGAGGACATGCGATCTGCTATTTGGTGTTTTCCCCCATTGCTGTCTTACTTGATTTCCTAGCTCACACGACGTCTACTAATGTTCACCGCAAAAAGCAAACATCATTCAACTCCAAGCAAGGATAAAGGAAGATGTCGAAACCTAACTACGATAACGTATACCCTTGTATTGATACAACGTACTGTACATTACATAAGCTGTTTCAAAAGTTTATACACAGCCTTAGGTTATGATTAAGGTACCTTAGGTTAGTGCGAGTTAAAATATCTGTATTTTGCCAAGATCTCCAGCTCCCTTAAATTGTTATCTCCATTCCTTCAGGTTCCAATCTTTCATTTCGACTTTATCCTGTTATCTATAACTGCACAGCCGCCCTCATAGGGCAGCAGAAATTAGTTGATAGGTAACAGACACGGATCTTCTCGTAAGTACTTTACTTGTCTTTTGAACTTTTCAAGAATATCTTTATGGCAGAAACAACTCCTTTGCTCTCCGAAGTCCCTGAGCAAGGGCTCTTTGAATGACGTGGAGAGAGTAGAGGACAATGATGCCTCAACCACGCAAGCCATCTCGCCACACATCATCAGCGCGATTGTCCGCCTATCTGCATCTTCCATTTTGTTTTCTGCCTTGACGATCATCATGGTCATAGTCGCGTTTATCTATAATGCAAATTCAAGTGATTACTACCGTTGGAATCCTTACGAGGAGGAGCTAAGCATAACAGCTGGCTTTGTATGGAATAGTTTTCCTTAATTTTCTGCTTGTGCCTAACTTATTCCTCGATAGCTGTCCTCCCTTTCCTCTTTTCTGGCCTGAACCTCACACGTGTTCGTGCAACCGGCGGTGCCCACTCCGTTCATTGGTTCCTTAATTTCCTTGTAGATGCGATACTTACACTCTTCTTCATCATTGAGGGTATCTCTACTATTGGTAGTATATCAACTAGCTATTATCTTGATTTAGAAGGAATCTTAAAAATCCTGGATTGCATTGCTTTCAGCTTTGCGCTGCTGGTTTGCTTGATCCACTTCGCCTTATTAGCAATACGAGCCCGTATTGCGTATCGAGGACAATACTGGAGGCAGCCGTGGACCTTTCCTGGCGGAGAGCTGACCTTATCTTTCACCGTTAGATTATTGAGACAAGAAGACGGAGAGAGACCTCGGGGGCCAAGGTCATAATGGTCTGGTTGTCGACAAAGTGGTACAATCAATGTACAGAGAGATTACGAGTATCTGAGCAAAATTGCCATGGCCTATTCCATTGCCCTCATTGAAAGAAGAAATTCTCGTTGATCGTCAAAATTTATGTACAGCACCAGTCCTTCCCAGCTGGGGACCGTCGATTCTCTTTTGTATGATCATTAGTTTTCACTTGCACGCTGTTAAGTTTTACTTCTTTCTGTTGAAAGATGTCATATAATGAATCATTTCCTGTTCTATCCGGTTTCCACACTAGCCTCCCTAATCACTTCTCATCATCTATGTGACTATATTCAGCTCAAAAATTATTCTTATTCAAGAGTTACTTCAGCAGGAATAACTCTGTGAGATTTAGATCAGATCCACCCTCATCCTATATTAAACAGTAGCTATTCGGAGCCAGCAGCCGGTTATAGGGCACCTTCATCTCAGTCATTTTCCATTATACCACCTTCTATGAATGCATTTATCTGAGCTTTTCCGTCCAAGACCACTCCACGAGTTCGTCAAGATCGCCGTGTCTAGAGCAATATGAGGCGGTCCGGCAAGAGTAGATTACATTCAAAAATGTAATAAAGGAGGACGATCGCCTTGTTGACTTTATTCAATTCCAGAGAATTCACATCCAAGATTAAACTATTGGTCACGATCAGCAGAGCTTTATCCCTCAATTAAGTTCACACGGTCTTGTGCATACCAAGAATCGATTTAGGGTTTAGTGTCCTTTCACTAGGCCTCTCTAAGGCGCAAAGGAGAAGATATCTCCCTGGATAACGGAATAGCGGTAGCTTGGTTCTATATCCCATCCGCCCTTCAACTTGATCCCTCGCTAAGAGTTACCATTCAACAGGTTCAGCATTCTATAACTAGTTTTCCTCACTTGCATCCCTACGTTCTCTTCTGTCCATCATTGCCAGTCAACTTCTCTTGGTCCAGGTTCCCTAATTGGCATGCTAGAGTTGGGTCCGTAACGTGGTAGAGCGTGACATTCTCGCTTTTGATTCATTTCGTATTACGTTTACCATTATCATTCAGCCGAGCGGATGACATTAATCGAAAGAAAGGGGATAGTATTAGTCTTGTGAAGCGAACATATTCAGGGTTCCTAACTAATTCTCCCGATCTCCACACCAACTATATTTTTCCTGGTGACATGGAAAAGTGCTAGTTGGTTTGAAAACGTGCGCTAGAAGACAAAGTTCAGCTTGTCTTGCGGCTTGATCTGACAAATGTTGATGTTTCGGATGCAAAAGAGCTCGATTCAATCTAGACCAGATAGTAATTTGTAGGGCTTGTCCCTCGCAATTAATCAAAAGCTATATCTAACTACAATAAAAACACGTTGTCATCATCGATCTTTTTTGATATCGATTTGTTCCTTAATGCTCTAATATGCTAGAGGTCACTCTTATCACCTTCCTTCTCCCTGATTCTTATTCAGATCAATCTAAGATGACTCATCCTAGGAACGAGTACATATCTCGCACTTCCCTAATCACCTACAAATGAGGGTAAATGACCAACCATCCTTCGATAAATCAAAGCATATATATCCCCTTGAGGTAGGGATAGTCACGGCAATTTCTCACGGATGTAGGATTTCCCATGTAGAATTATAACTTCAATACCTTTTCAACGTACTTAATCTGCTGGAAGAAATCAAAGAGAACATGGGTACAACTATCACTTGCTGTCGGAACATTTTGAATAGGGATGCTTCTACGGCTGTTGTAGATACATACTAAAATCCGTATAAATTGCCCTTAGCACCCCTATAAGATATAATAGACTCTGTCCACTTGAATTCCTCCTAACTAGAGGATCAGTAGATGTTTAAATTAGCTTAAAACTGGATATCCTACACTTCTTAATACCGTCACACTCGGATTAACTTCACCATATGATAGGTAGGGACTAGGAGGAGTTGGAGACCGAAATCGAAACTTTCTGAGATCTTCTTTCGGACCAGGGATTTAGTAGTCTAGGAGCTCCATCCGAGCTCGATTCCATATATTTTCCTCCCTATTCCACAACGCACTTTAAGGTTCGACGCTGGTCCTTAGGATTTCTCTATACTGCTTGGGGTTAGATGTACCGACTCCTTGAGGTTTAAAACTGTCCTGTGTTGCTGAGGAAATAGGAACTAGAATATTGGAACATGAAATATAAGGCAACAGACAGCCGCTTTTCGGCTATGGCGGGTGAGAAAGAAGCTTCGGTACCGAGGATTCCGTCCGTTCTAGATACCGATTCCCAGAGGATACCGACAACCGGGATAGACCTGGTTCTCCTCACCTTCTTTTCAGCTTTCCTAATAATAAATTCTTTGCATGCAATGCAAGTGCATCGGATTCCGAGTTGCGTATTCCGTAGATTCCTCGGGGATGCATTGCTCATTGAATTAAATCATCACCGCCATATTCACCGTGGTGACACGCACAGTGCTGTCACAACGATTTGCACTACTCGTTCGGAATTTGGATTGAGGGGAATGCCACTTGCATGCATGGAACAAAGAAAAGAGCTCCGTGACTCCGTGAAGTTGTTATCGGTCTTGAGAAAAGCCCTTAGACAGGTTTGAGATTCACGCAGTTCCAAATATAAGCCCAAAGCGAAGCGAAGTGGAAGTGCAATCACTGAGGTCGGCGAAGAGAAAATTGGCAATCAAAAAGATGATGGGAAGGATTTTGGGGATGTGAAAAGTATCAAATAGATGACCTCTAGGAGCTCCCGAAAGAGGAAGCTGCATACGCCATCAGCCATCTAACTTACAGTACAAGTACAGTAGTACATGTACGCGCCCGCTACGAATGCAACTAGTCAGATGAATTGAGATACACTTAAGGTTTGCAAGCATCTGTTACAGATAGAGGATTGATATCTTAAGCAAATCTCAGAATGGGGCTCTAACAACTGATTTTGCACCAGAAAATAATGCGTGGGGTGTTCGTGGGATACTCCGTACTTATCTGTGTCCGTGAATTATGGACGAATCACGTCCGTTTTCATATTGTCTTGGATCATCTACCATTACAGAGAACTTTGATCCTTTGCTGGTCGCCACCGGTGAGTAGGACTCTGCGCCGCGAGTGTTATACCGACCTGATATGAAGGAGATACGTTGCAACAACGCTCTGTAATCTGAGGTAGAATCACTAGAATGAATCGTCTTCTCGTCCACAATTTTCCCTGTAGCTTTGGAATAAGGTATGGTCGGGTACGGTGAAACGATTTTGCGTCTCTAACAGAAATCTAATTTGTCAAGAATAATTTTAAGATATAGGTTAGACATTACCAATTTTCCTCACAAATCGGATCAGGTCTTGTGGTCTAGTGGTATGATTCTCGCTTAGGGTCACCTAAGTTTCAATTTCATTCATTTGAAATGCGAGAGGCCCCGCGTTCGAGTCGCGGCAAGACCCCGAAAGTTTGGTTCATTTTTTGATTGTTTTTTGCATCGCCTCTCTAAGAAATAAAAGGGATTACACAAATTCGATACCCTTTGATTTTCTTATTCGTAGCGGGGATATTTCCTGCTATACTGTAGTAGCTCAAGCAACATAACTTTCAATGCACGAACCATACCGCTTTTTCTATCTTCTTTTGATGACGACGGGGCATATTTGAAAGGTATTTATTGGTCTATCTATTATCAATCATGATCAATGTTTGCAATCCAACATTCCGACTTCAGAGCGAAAGAATTGCGGTGAGGACGCATGTAATTACATGTATTAGGACTAGTGTGTCCATAAACGCTAACTATGCAGCAGAGAAATCTTAAAACTCCCTTTTTCACCATGATTCCATGAAAGAAGAAACCACAAAGGAACCTACGACGTGCGGCAAAGCCTCTTGTCGCTTCCTTCGGCCCAGTATTCACTACCGACGGCTTCTAAAGCGTAGAAAATGCTGTATGGGTCGTACTTCTTCTTGATCGATAAGAGCTTGTTGTAATTACTGCCGTAGAACACCTGCTGCCAGTTTGGCTGCTGGAAATCTGCCTCGTTTACGTATGATGCTCCGTTAGGGGTTAAAGAAGCTAACTGGGGAATGAGCTGGTTCGTCATGAGATCTTGATTCTGTAGATTCAGATTCCAATCCGTGTAGCTCCAAAATCTATAAGGAAGTTAATATACTGCGGGACTATGATAATCTTTTCCGGGATGAAATGATAGTACTTACGTGCCTACAACGACGCTAATGAGCGTATCGCGCCATGCTGGGTTCACAGAGTTCGAAGGGTGAGGTTTATCTACATTAAATGCAAGGCCAGAGATGAGAGCTCCGGCATCGTTGATATTTCGGAGTGCTTTCATCAGACCGCCAATGTTTTTCTTAACGACTGATCTTGGGATGAAACGGCCGCCCAGCTGAGCATTCGCGACAGCTGTTGGAGGGTTCATTGCATTATAGCTATCCACATAGCTTGGGAAATCCGCAGAGTAATAAGCTGAAATAGCATCTTTAGTAAGGGGGGTTATATGAAATCTGAACAGAATGCTTACTGTAGGGGATACCACTACTCTTCAACTTTTTAAATGTTGGTGCCATCAGATCATCTAACTTCTTCTTCGTGAGTCCTGGCGCTGTGTTGGTCACAAGAGTGAAACTTTGGCTTGTGAGGTACCAGATGCTGAATACTCCGGCATCAACTATTGACGGCAGACTGGAGATGTAGGTCTGAACGGCCGAGTAGAACTTATCTTGTGACACTCCAGCATTTGTGAAGGTCATATTGCTAGCGGCAGTACGAAGGTCCGGATATGCTTTGATTGTGGCTGTGAAGACAACACCGTACGTGCCTCCCCCACCACCGGATAGAGCCCAATACAGATCAGAGTTTTGGCTTGGTGTTGCAGTCAAGAGCTTCCCAGTACCTGTTACAACTTGCCACTCAAGTACCTGGTCTGCAGCCAGGCCGAACTTGGAAGCTACAGGACCGTGACCGCCTCCTTGGGAATATCCACCGACGGGTCCAACGCTGGGGCAATTTCCACCCACGACAACAAGACCATTTGAGTGAGCAAAGTTTTGCAGGTCGCTGTTAAGAACTCCGGCACCAACTTTGATCGCCTTCCCGGTGTATCCGTTAGCTTTGTAGTTCACGAGTTCCACGCCCTTCAAGTTGTGAGTCCAGATACCCAAAGCTCCGGCCCCGGTGGATTTTCCAAGATAGTCGTGGCCGGTGTTTCGGATGACCAGCCGAATATTTTTGTCGTTGGCAAATTGAATAGCTTTTTGATAGTCTGCCATTTCTCTGGCGTTGACTGCGTATTGAACGTAAGTGCCAACGACGCACTGAGCTGATGTTGGGGTGAATGGATCACAGCTCTGATTCGCGAAGAAGGGGGCCATGATTGAAGACGGAGAATCAATGTGAGTGTATGGATCAGTCCATGCGGCCTGAATACGAGCACATTCTGCGGCATTGTAGGGACCAAAGCTGCTGGAGTGACAAGGTGCGGCCAGTGGTCTTGTCGCAATGAGTCTTCCTCCAACCGTCTTGTTGAAGGCATTCCAATCAGTCTGTGATGGCCAACAGACGTCACCTGGGAAACATCGACATCGTGGAGTGCGGCTCTCAAGCTGCTGTGACTGTGGAAGGGCAAGGATGGATGTGATCAGAGAGAGTAATAGAAATAGGGAACGGAGAGGTAGGAGAAGCATTTTTGTTCGGGACGAGGGAGGGAAAGGCTAGACGTGAAAGAAAGGAAAGCAAGAGGAAGATGAGGAAGTAATAAAGGGTAACATGAGCTGTTCCCCGCGCTTGGAACGGACTGTTTGGGAAGCCACGTGTGGACGACTGTCCCATGCGCCTGGTGTATATGGCATTGTGGCACGAATTGAAGTTGCCATAGTGGTAGGTGCTACCCTTAGCTCACCAGCCTTCTTACTACCTGCTTCCAGCTTTCTTCTTTTGGTATGCGGCGACGCGGCTACAACGCCTCTTGGGCAAGCGAAAAGCAGAGCACAGGTAGCAGTCAACGGTGGCGCTTTCCTTGTGTGTGGGGGGGAGAGGGGAAAGAGAAGGAGCAGACTTTTGGGGAAATACCCTTTAAGGTAGCCTATGTAAGACTAAGGTAGAAGTGTTCCTGTCGGATATGTGGTAGACTACCTACCTTACCTACCTTACCTACCTTACGGTATGATCGTACTGTCAGGGTTCTGCGGTGTTACAGTATGAGGATGTGAAATTGAGTTCTAAAGTGAGATCAAGATTTCCGACAAGGGTTTCGAGGTTTCAAAAAAAATCGACCGGAGATAAGGTCAGATGTATATCCTTGCGGCCACGCAAAACTGGCTGCAGATGGAATGGTCGGTAGATAGGCTCACGCATGGACTGGGTGCATAAGGTGTGTGCGGTAAGGTGCTTTGTAGAAGCCCAGCAAGTGAAGGTACCTTAGGGTAGAGTAGTAAAGAATATTTTTTAGTGTGTCCCGTCAAATCTCGGTCGAGTTTCTGTCGGTCGTCCTTTTCGGAAATCTTTAAGGCCACGGCCTTTGATATGAGTGGCGTCGGTGGCGTTTTAAAGCTGATGGGATGGAGTGAAAGTGGAGGTATGGTTGAGGTAAGGTTCATTTAATTGATAGTTTGATAGGTAGGTTGATACCTTATTACGGTACTCATAGGTAGTCAGTTCCTCATCGCTCTTGCTCTCGCTAACCCTTCGTAACCTCTCTTTCCTTCAAGCCTCAATACAGTAATAGTCCTACCTTACCGTACTAGACATTACGGAAATCAGGTACAGTCAGCCACAAGAAGTCAACGTCCATGCGCCGCTATCACGTGATTGAAGCGAATATTTTTCATAATTTCTTCTATTCTTCCTCCTTTTCTATTATAATAGCTATTTAAAATATTATATAAATTAAAAATAGTTTATTAAAAGCTTATAATTAAATAAATAAATAATAATATAAAAATAATAATATAAACTTTCTATTATATAAATTATTTAAGTTTTAAAATTATTATTAAAATTTTAATATTATATTTTAACTATTTAATATATTATTATATAAATAAAAAAAAATTTAAAAAAGTTTTAAAAAAAATTAAAAGTTTATTAATTATATATTAAACTTTAATTATCTTTTTAAATAAATTTATTATTATTATAGCCAAAAGTTATAGAAACATGTAGTGGGCAAGTGGGGAAGGAATCCACCACTCGGCACAATCACGGGAGGAAGTCAGTGCCACGAAGGTCACGTGATGTGATCGATAGTCGAGTGCTCGAAGGGTTATCGAGCAGCGAACATTGAGCACATCAAATAGGACTGTGAAGAAGGAATATCTAAGGACGCTCCTTTACACATGTATTTAGATTCTTCGCAGTTCTTCTTACCAACTAATTTAGATGTTACGATTTTAACTTACCTCACCTTTGTCATACTATGTTTGTACAATATCACTTGTCTCTATTGTGAAGCCTTTGAGAGAGAGTTAAGGGGAAGCAAGTCATACCGTTGACTTGAAGTGTAAACCTTTACACGTTCTATCCCGAAGCGGAAACCTAGCCTTCTAGGAAGGAAGTCTCTCACCTATGAGAAACCTTGCGCGTGTTTATCTGGTTTCGGCTTAGAGAAGTATAAACTCCCGTTAGTAATAATTATAGAGTTCTTACTATAAATTGAAATTAATAATAAATTGATATTAATATTTATATTTTTTATATTAAAATAGTTTATTTAATTTTTTAATTTAAATTTAATAAAAATTTTTAAAATTCAAATTTTAAAAAAAATATTATATTAATTTTAAAAATAAATAAATTTAAAACCTTTTAATTAAATTAATTATATTATAATATAAAAGAGAAATATAAAATAATTATTAAAGTAAATAATAAATTATTAAATTATAAAATTATTAATATTAAATTTACTATTTTTCAATATAATTAATAATCTAATAGCTTATTAACTTAATATATTATATTTATATAAAGCTAGTAGGGTTAATATAAGCGGGATATATAAGAATGGCACGGATGTTAACTTTCTATAGCTAACTGTACCTTGAAGTTGTTGCCCATTTCCCTGAAAGAGCTGCCGGGCATGATCCCCCTGTGGTGGGTTTAATCCATCACCCGATTATTATTGCATGAACTGCAGTCTGCAGAACTTGATACGGCAATCAACGCTGGGACCAAAGACGGGATCGGAGAAGTTCAAACCCCTGAAGCCAAGCCGAGACTATGGCGTCTTTGGTTGCTTTGCCCGCCGTGTCCACTACCTTTTTCAGGTTAGAACTATCTTACCTCCCAATCAAACATCTCAAACGATTAAGGTAGTTCTACATGTTACCGCTGAAAGCGATTATTAGAAAAATGGTTTTGGAAGGATTTTGTATAGTCTTTTGAGGCTTTTGCACTCGTGAACACCTCCCCGCACCCTTTTGGATTCTGTCTTTACAG